GGACTTTTTTGGGATTTACGCTCCACAGCTCGGACAAGCCAGGCGAGGTTCATGGTGCGAAGTCGGCGTGACAGGGGCATTTGCGGTTTAGGGCTTAGGGCGCCATCTGCTGCCTTGCCTCACAACGACTCCTCATGCTAGGAAGCTCTACAGCGGATCTTCTGCACAAGTAATTTGATGCTGCACCCAATGCCTCCTCTGCAAAGCATCAACACCCGAAACATCCAACCTATTACCCCACTCCATGCCCATACCCAAGCAACTTCAAGCCCAAATCCTAAAGCCTAAGCACCAAACCCTCTTAAAACCTCAGCCCCTTTGAACGTAGCCCACAATGAATGGAGGCTCCGTCCCTCGGTGCTTCAAGGCCGACAAATCCAGAGGCAAAAAACAATCAGGATACCTGAGCACAGAGAGCTCAATAACTCAGGAATATATCTAGACCCTTACACTTTTGGGCAAATTCGTTAATTGATGGTTACGGGGGTCTGCGAAACTCGTATCCCCTGCGCAGAACAAACACCATAGGTCATGCGCAGATCGCCACATACACGTTAATGAACAAATGTAGCTTGAATCATCATAAGAAGCCTTATGTGGTTTGAGACAGGCTCCTCAACTCATGCCTGCAATCGGCTAACCTGCTACATCAACAGACCAGCAGAAAAGGTTGCAACCTTATGAAACAATTATCGAACAGCCATTGAAACCCTTACAAAACCTGAACTTGGCACTGTAAGTTTTACACTCAAAGGACTGGGCCCCTTATACCCGAAGGTCGTAACTCACCATCTTGTAAGGAAGGTTCCGAGCGACGAGGGGGGTTAGAGCTTAAGGGGATTCTAAGAGGATGCCAAGCCCGGCTGCCATGCATCTTCCTGTTCCTCTGTGAAGTCTTCGTCACGCGCCTTACCGGGGAAAAGTTTCAAAGGGAGCCCAAAAGCCCCTAACTCGTGAAAAACACCCATGACTCCATGAAGCCTTTAAGTCTTAAACTTACACCAGAGCGAGCTTCCTACTTGCTGTTGTTAGAAGTCGCACTCCTTAGGTGTATATATATATATATATCTGTCTGTGTCTGTGTCTGTGTCTG